CACACAAAAGCAAGGATGCACATCTTCACATTGTAGATAAGCCAGAGTGAAAGTAGAAGGTGTAGATCCGTTAAAAAAGCAGTAAGAGGGAAATACCCGTACAGTCTACTAGCGTTTCGGGTCGAGTTCATGTCCACTTTTGGTACACATTAACACCATGTTTACTATCAGAAGTTGCTCCACTTCCTGTTAGCCTCACTTCAACTGATTCGTTATTCCTCGCTTGGCTTATCATCTTGTTCGCTGCAGACGCTGCAGCGTTTAGGAGGAGGAAGAGGGTTTGGTGCAGTACCGGCCATTCTCCATCAACTGTGGAATGTGGCAGGCGACCGCAGCTGGTGGAAATTTTGCTGATGCCGTGCCAATTCAGGTCAGAGGGCACTAAAAAGCTGACAAAGCTATGAAGATTACTTACCTGATGACAGCGAGGAATATCCACGTCCAGTTGTCTATCGCTCACATGGACAGCTAACGTATTGGAAAGGTAGAAGTTCCACTCATCACTTGATCGGACATCTAGCAAAGCGCACCAAACTGCAAAGGTTTTCAAGCAATTTGACCGCCTAAGAAAGCAACACTCAAAATATCCTCCAAAACTGTAGTCTTAAAAACGACCGCATGATGATATTACGGGTAATAGACAGTAACACTTTCCCCGTGCGATTGCAAATTGATTCTAGCATGAACTGAGAAGGAAGAACAAATAAAGAGCACAGAAGCCATGCCCCTAGCAAAAAAAAATAGCAGAAAACAGAAGAGGAACCACAGATCCTTGGTCCAGGCAGATGGTCAAGACAATTGTGAACTACCGCTGCGTTTTCTTAGTTTTCTTTTCTTCTTTTCCCTTCTTTCTTTTCTTCGCATTAGCCTGTCTACTGGCGGTTACAAAGTGTCAATTGCAGACACCTAGAAACCGCCTACGACCTAGAATAGAAACATCGTTATTCGCGGACGCGACGTCGCAGGCGACGCACTCTGGCGCGGTGTTACGATTGTGTTGTAACATACCCCACCGGATCATCCTTAACGTCAGTAGACTTCTTCATTCACCGGAAGAGTCAGTATATGTCCCATACGGTGTGAGAAATGTCTCCAGTGCGAACCAGATGCCCCTTTACCCCTGTTGATTTCGAGAACTCCATGAGCTCCACTGTCAGAAGCGGAACAGGAACCATCACTTTGCGGAAAACAGCTTACATTAGTCGATTTGCCCCCCCCCCCCGGGAAGGGGGTGCACACACAACCCCATTAAAGGGCTGGTCTTCTCTTACTTTTTCGGCTGACTCGTGCATTGAGAGAATGGCTCGGTTAATGGCCTGCTACACTTCCATTGAATTTTCATCCGAATTGCACTAACTTCATTCGAAAACGATATCTTTGCACGCAGTAGGTGGACTTGCAATCACTGGGAAAGATCTTTTCAAAACGACGACCAATTCGTGATGATAAAATAAAGCTACTGCAGAAGTAGTTCGTAGTTCCACTCACTGGGTACAAGCTTCGCTCATAATGGTAAACCCCGCTCACCTTCATTTTCCGAAAATCTACGATTTTTTGAAATTTGGGCATGTTCAAAGCACATATAGCTCCACCCTCTACAGTCAGGCTCCGCCCACTTATTCGAAACGCCATGCCCTTGATCTTTCACTTCTACGTAGTAGGCACACAACCCGAAACGTAGTCGTATCACGATGGTATGAAGTGAGTTAATTTCAATATGTATAAATT